ATTCTGAAGCATTGTTCTTGTCCGTCATGCATTTATTTCTACTATGTTTTTGTTGTATGATTCCATTGTTCTTCATTGTCTAACTGTATAATAAATAAATTCTGACGAGCAGTTTGCGGTTTTCTGCCTTTATTGAACATTACACTGCATTTGGTCCATTCTGCAACATGATTCAATTAAAATCACAGCGCTATACATACATGCACGCTGGAGACCTTTTACCACATATGGCTGCATCCAGATATTATTTAATAACCCCTGAAGTAATTCATCCAGTAGCTTTTCTCTCCGTGACAAGAAAAGCAGACCACTGTTAGCAGTTAGCACTAAGCATTAGTCGGGGAGGGTCTCTGGGAGGAGCTGAGTTAATTTAGTCTCACGTCACACAACAGCACATTCGACTAGGAGCAGGTACAATTCAGATATCTTCAAATATAATTGTGACTAGTCGAAACTGAATTAGAGATATCTCTAATTACCTTTGCGTATGCGTGACGCCCTATTGAAGATATCTATGATGTCATTACAGATATCTTCAATGGAGTTTTGACTAGTCAAAGTATTTAGAGATATCTCTAATCCGATTTCTTACTAGTGCAATTATAATTTCAGATATCTCTAATTGTCATTGTGACTAGTCGAATTATAATTATGACTCGTCAAAATACAATTGTTCCTATCTTAAATTATATTTATGGATAGTCAAAACAAACTTTTAAATGCTAAAATGGCTTGCCATAAATAATTGTATTTCTGATATGTGCAATTGGAATTTTAACTAGTAAGAAATAAATTCTTGATATCAACAATTGAATTTGAATGGCAGCCTATGGTGACATTTAACTAGTGAAAATACAATTACAGATATCGCGAATTATATTTTTCTACTAGTTGAAATGTAATTCCTGATATCAAGAATTAGCATTTTAACTAGTGAAAATTGAATTGTTGATATCAAGAATTAACATTGTTACTAGTGGAAATGTAATTCGTGATATCAAAAATAGCCATTGTTACTAGGAGAAATCCAATTCCTGATATCAAGAATTAGCATTTTAACTAGTGAAAACTGAATAGTTGATATCAAGAATTCATATCCTGTGAAGAAATAAAAGTCAAAACGGCTTGCCATAGTTGGAAGAGCAAGTACATGGGGTGTCCCGAGAGTGCTATTATTAGTGATAGTACAGCTGTGAGGGCCATGATTCTTTCACAGCTGGAATAAAAGCTACAGCAGATAATGAGCAAGGACAGAGCATGTTTTCATAGATGCTTGATAATTGCTGATTAAATATTCATATGCAATTTCTGTGTTCACAGGATGATAGATATATGTGAGCTGATTTTCACTTGAAATCTTTCACTTGAATTTTTATAATCCTCAGTGTTGCCCTCTACATATCCAACAAATTTCAAATTCAGCATGTTGAAGATATTTCAAATGTAGCACCTAAATTGCCACGAGGCCTGCCTGAGGGCTATATTTAGTTGCCTCTAAATGCCAGTGATCACTGGATCCTCTCTCCTTCCATGTCAGGAAAGGTATCCTTAGTGTTTTAGTGCAGCAACATTTTTTCCAATTGACGCTGCTGCAGGTGTACTTAATATAATATATAAACCTCAAAACTGGAGGTAATAAATCCAACGAGTTCTCTTTAGCCTATAGATTAATTTAAGACATTCTGTACTAATATTAATAAAAACATCAAACTTAAAATGCAGAAAGAAAAAAAATATACATGACATAAAATATAAGACAATGCATCGGATTAAAATTATTCAAAAACATTGTTATTAAAATACACTTCTCTGTGTATGTGTCACTTTCTGTATATCAAAATAAAAAGAAATGCATACTTTTATTAAGCAAGGATGCATTAAATTGATCAAATGTGACAGTAAAGATTTTAAATAAATGTTGTTCCTGAAGAAGAAAAAAAAAAGGGTAAACAGGACAACTGTTTCCCACCTTAATAATAATAATTAGAAATGTTTCTTGAACAGCATCTTAGAATGATTTCTGAAGGATCATGTGACACTGAAGACTTCAGCTGTAACAGAGACGCTGGAGTTTGGTTAGAGTCCATGAGCGGAAGTTTATTAAAAGGTCAAGGCTTTAACCAGATGTCGATAATCAGGCAGAGGGTCAAAGTCAGAGAAGCAAGCAGATCGTTCGTCATACACAAGGGCAGAAGCAGAGACAATAGTGGAGAGGCAGGCAATGAGTCCAAACACAAACATCAGTCCTATCAGGCGTCAGAACAAAAGGGGCAGAGTACAAATACCGTGAGTCAAGAAGTCAGGCAGAATCATACACAGGAAATCAATCAGGAACAGAGGAAGAATAATGCTTGGTAAGGCAGATAAACTGGGAATACTTCGCGATCAGCACATGGACTGGTCTCAGTTTATATGAGAGTCAAACAGGAAGTGAAAACAGAGGAAGCAGAGGGAGTGGAGCACGGTCAGTACTCGGGCGAGGGCTCCCTCTGCTGGCTTGACATTACAGAACTCCCCCCTCTAGGAGCGACTCCTGGAGCTCGACGTGGACGTCCCCGTGGTCTCGGTGCTGGGTGGTCGGGTCTGGCTCGATGAGTGATGGATCCAGAATGTCCCGGGCGGCTACCCATGACCTCTCCTCAGGTCCATAGCCTTCCCAGTCCACCAGATACTGGAGCTGACCCCCTCTTCGTCTCGAGTCCAGTAACACATTCACCCTATATGCCGGAGTTCCATCAAAGCCCAGTGGTGGTGGTTCTGGGGCTTCATGGCCAGGGTCAGCTCCCGAGTGGACGGGTTTGAGGAGGGACACATGGAAAGAGGGAGAGATACGATACTTAGCAGGAAGCTCCAATTGGCATGTTACATCATTGATCTGTCTTAGTATATTTAAAGGGCCAACATACCTGGGACTGAGCTTCCTGCTTGGTAGCCACAACTTGATGTCCTTCGTGGAGAGCCAGACCCGTTGTCCTGGTTGGTAGGGAGGGTGTGGGCGACGTCGTCTATTGGCTTGGAATTCTTGTGTTCTCACAGCTCGCTGGAGATGGACATGAGCACTGTTCCACACCCTCTCACAACGTTGAATTCAGTCATCCACTGCAGGAACCGAGGAGGGTTCGCCAGACCACGGGAACAGAGGCGGTTGGAATCCTAGGACGCACTGGAAGGGGGTTAGACCTGTAGAGGAGTGAGTCAGAGAGTTTTGAGCGTATTCTACCCATGGCAAGAACTCAGACCAGCTGTGCGGTTCACGGCTGCAGTAGCTTCGGAGATACCTTCCTATTTCCTGGTTGAGTCATTCAACTTGTCTCAGACCATCTGTGCTGTTCACGGCTGCAGTAGCTTCGGAGATACCTTCCTATTTCCTGGTTGAGTCGTTCGACTTGTCCGTTGGCTTGTGGGTGATAGCCTGAAGTTAAACTGACGTTGATATCCAACTGATTGCAGAATGCCCTCCAGACATGTGACGTGAATCGGGTACCTCGGTCACTGACTATGTCCTCTGGTAGTCCATATATCCTAAAGATGTGTTGGAAGAGGGTTTGAGCAGTTTCCATGGCAGTGGGTAGTGGAATGAGACGGCAGGACTTCGAGAAATGGACAATGATAACCAGTATAGTAGTGTTATTATTGGATGGTGGGAGGTCAGTGATGAAGGCGATAGAC